TTCTTATAGCACAATAGTATTCCATCTCATTTACATACCATAACTTATTTAGTCATTCCCTAATTGATGGGCATCTCCTCGATTTCTTTGGTAAATAAAAAATCAAAAGAGATGAGAAGGTATGGCCTGGGTATAGGTTACAGAACAAAGAAAAAACAGATAAGCAAAAAACAACTAACCAAGCAAATACAGCTAGTACTTGACAGTTTATTCAATATTCTGTACCAGTAGCCCCCCACCTCTAGCAAAAGGAGGAAAGCACATTTCATTATTTTTTTCCTCCAGGACAAAGGTTGGTCAATGCAATTCATCTGAGTTTAGCTGTCTTTTAATGTTGTCTTCATTTGCATAAAATATGGTTATCATATATATTTTTCTCCTGGTTCTGCTTACTTTATTCTGTACCAGATCAAACAAGTCTTCCCATGAATTCCTTATATTATTTCTTTCTCATGGTTCAATAATATTCCATTATTTGTTTAGTCATTCTCCAATTGATATATGTCTACTTTGCTTCCAATTTTTTCTACCACAAAAGTGCTGCTATGAATATTTTGTTATATATAGTACCTTTCTGTCTTCCACCTTGTTGGGGGCTATATAGGCATTTATATTACCTTATTTTAAATGAAACATTAAAAAATTTTTAATTTAACAAACACCAAAAAGAGAGAACATTTCCATATATAATTTAAAATAAAAAAGAGGATTTTATATGGGGAAATCATGGATCTCTACACACAGCTCATTTTAAATTTGAATAAGTTCAATATATAAGTTTCAAAGCTGTCCTGCTTGTCTGTTTTCTTCTGAACTTCCCTTCTGTTCTCTTTTGTGCATTTAAAAAATACTTCAATGACTCTTTGTTTCTTTTATTCTTTTTTTTTTTGCAATGGTATCTCCAGCTTTCTCCTCCCAATTCTTTTCCCAAATAAAGATACAAGCTTCAAAATAAACAAGCATAGTCACATAAAATAAATCAACATATGGTGTATTGTTTTATTTTAAATTTAAAAATCTTATTTTAAAATATCACATTCACTTCTGGACATATCCCTCTCCCCTCTCCTACCAAGTGATACTTCCCTTTTATATCAAAAGTTTTAAAAAACAACAACCCAGAAACAAAGCAGTTCAGTAAAACTAACCAAGAGTATATTCAATATTCCGTACCCTTAGTCCTCCACTTTGGCAGTAAGGGGAGAGAGGTGCATTTTCTCAATCCTTCTCTGGGGTTGTTTGATCACAATTACACAGCATTCAATTTCTTTTTTCTCTTTGGTTCATTGTATTGATGTTGTAGTCATTGTGTATATTATTTTCTGGTTCTGCTTAATTCACTTTGAATCCATTGCTATGTCTTGTAATGCTTCTTAGAATTGTTCATGTTTGTTGTTATTTATAGCGCTTTCCATTCCATTTGTCTCACAATTTTTGAAGCCATTCACAATCAGTGGACAATTACTTTGTTACCAGTTCTTTGCTGCCACGGAAAGTGGGGCTATGAATGTTTTGGTGTATGTGGGATCTTTTTTTTTCTTGCCCTCCTTGGCTTATGTGATTATAGTCCATATCTAAAGCTTCTTTTCCTACTGGCCCTTGGCAAGTGGCATCCTCAAAGCCCTGCTGTTGTATTTCCCCTTAGGGTTCTAGGTTTAGCCCTCAGGGCACGGAGTGGGGTGGAACGAGAAGACTTATCTTTCTAATGCTATAGCTTAAGAGCCCCCTAACTGGTGGGCTCCCCCCCACCATGATTATCAGTTGCTATCAACTAATCAGCAAGACTTAATCAGCTTTTACAAGTGATTATTTATTATGCAGTTATAACTGGAACAAAATAATCTCTCAAAAGACATCCTTACACTTTTCTCATAGTATATAGAGTCCAGACGAAAGTGGGTTTGAGCTTAGAGAACACAGGTGGCCAACAGTAGCTTTTAGAAATCTTTTAGTAGGAGTCCTCAGGACATTGTCTTCGGTAGGGATAGTGTTTGTTTGTAAAGCATTGAGTTTTGCCTTTCCTCATCAAGTCCAGTCTATCCTTGGTTCCTGATGTAGACATTGCTTCTGCCTGTTGCTGTCCCCTGGGACACTAAAGTCCAGATCCTCTGGTCTTCCAAAGTTCACAAAAGCCTTCTTCTGGTTAAAGGGGGTGGAGTGGGGAGGAGACTGATGCTGGCTCTCTTCCTCCCTCCTCCTTCTAGAAATTCTCTTTCAGAGGCTTGAGTGGAAAGGCAATGAGGATGGAATCCAGGATTTGAATGTACTTGTGGGTTTTATAGGAGCTCATTAGGTGCAGGGGGAGACCAAGTCCCTAAACCAGACTTAAGGTACCACTTTCTTTGGTTCATCCAATGGCTTTCAAGGCTGTTGAGACAGCTGTGTGTTGTGGCGGATAGTGCTGGATCTGCAGTTGGGAGCACCTCAATTCAAATCTCACTTCACACGCTCACTAGCTGTGTGATCCTGGGCAAGTCACTTAACCTTTGTCTGCTTCAGTTACCTCAAATGTAAACTGGGAATAGTCATAGCACCTCCATCACAGGCTTATTGTGAGAATAAAATCAGAAAACACTTTTTAAAGGTTTTACAAACCTTAAATCATTTTATAAATGCTAGCTACTTTATTATTATTTCAAAGATACCTAAATTGATCAATTAGGACTTGGTCCAAAGCCTATGATTAATTGATTGGATGGAGGCGCCCAGATCTTGCTCATACCTAGTGCATTCTCTCCTGGTTAAGGTTTCTGAGTGTAGCATCTCTCCACTTGGGGTGTAATTGTCTAGGCTGACTCCTACACTTATAACATCCCTCTATTTTTAATATGTGCTGTCCTCAGCAAATCTACTGGAGTGTGCTTGATCAAGTCTATAGTCCCAAATCCCAGAGGGCCTTTTAGTGACTTGGGGAAGTTTTGCATTACCCTTATTGAACGTCTTCCCCAGTGTCTGGTTCTAGAGAGACTAAAGTCTCTGTGAAAGATAAGCATTTATTTTAAGGAAGACAATCAATCCAGAAACAGTTCTCATTTTGATAGTGCTCTGGGCTAGGAGTTGGGATACTTGGCTCTGCCATTGACACACCATGTAACCTTAGGCCAGGGTCTTCCCCTCCTGTGCTCAGTTTCTTCCTCTGTCCAAAGAAGGGTAGACTATTTGATCTTTTTGGGCCCTTATTCCACTGAAAGCCTGTGACTGTGAGTGTAGATAGAGATGCACTACTTTGCTCAAGGCTGACAAACAAGGATGATTCAGTTTACAGGAAAGGTGTTTGGGAAAATCCTCTTGCTTTCTTTAATGAAACCAAGACTATTCATGTAGATTCTGGCTGAATTCCTTCTAAGTTCTGAATTCAAACAATCTCTTCTTCCTGCTCATTCCTTGGGAACTGTGCCCTTGCGCTCTGCCCCTACTTACGGCCTCCGAAGTGACCTGAACCTATGATCCTGCCTTATGACTCTAAAACTTTCACAGCCATTGTGTGACAAATATATTTTCCTGTCCTTGGATAATGTTGTTGGTATGCACTGCCTCTTAGGTTGAGGACAACGAACTCATGTTCTCCCTTTCCAATAGAGCTCCCTTCCTGGAGAGCTGATAAAACAAGGGGCAGAGTCAATTAATTATTTTGCCTAACACTTATCAAGTGTCTTTGTTTTCGGAGCCCTGTGTTAAGCACTGAAGGAGATACAAACTGGATAAGACACCCTCTATTTCCTCATGAAGCTTCTGGTTTAGATAGCTACAATAAATATTACATGTGGATTAGGGAGGTTTGAAATAAATATTTATGTGAGGGGAAGATGTTACCAACCAGGTAACAGGGAAATGAAGGAAGACTTCCTGGAGGAGATGGCTTTATGAGTTGGACTTAAAAGGTTAGGTACAATTCAGCAGCAGAAGGGGAAGGAGGACATAAAGGGTCTTTCCCTCTGAACTCTTATAGGTCTTGTTGTGGGATTCAATCATAGAACACAGAACACAGAATGTCAGAACTGGAAAGGACCTTAAAATATAGAGTGTCTTAGCTGGGAGAGACCTTAGAACACAGAATACAGAATGGGAGCTGAAAGGGCTTTGGGACGCAGAATGTCAGAGCGGGATTGAACCTTAGAACCTAGAATGTCGAGCTGGAAGAGTCCTTAGAACACAGACCTAGAAGGGCCCTTAGGTTATCGGATGTCATAAACCTCTTTCCTTTCATCCCACCTTCTTCTCCCCTCCTCAGCCCCACTCCTCCGGGGGCTTCTTCCTCCTCCCCTCCTCCCACCTTTGGCCCCGCCCCACCCCGCCCTTTCATCTCCAGTCCCCCCTCCCCCTTTCCCTCCCGCCCCCGCGCCGCTGGATCCCCAGAGCCCTCCCTTCCAGCCTTCTCACGTTCCGCGCCGTCTTTTCCAGCGTCCCGGCCAGGGCCAGCCCAGCCCAGCTGACGGGGCCGCTGTGTTTACTGGCCAGACTCGAGCGGGGAGCGAGGAGCAAGGAGCGGGGAGCGCTGGTGCCTGCGGGGAAGGGGCCGCCGAGAAGAAGGAGGGGACAGGGCCAGAGCAGGGGCCTGCGGGGGGGGGCCAAGCGCGCAGCCGAGGCCCGCTCGCCTGGGTGCAGTGCCCAATTCACAGCCGCGCTGTCCAGCCTCGGGCCGCCAGGGGGTTACTGGGCCTGGGCCGGGGCCGCGATCTCCGGGGAGGGGGCGGGCACGCGGACGGGGCGCGGGGCTGCTGCTGGACTCGGCCCAGCCAGCGCCGAGGAGGAGGAGGAGGAGGAGGAGGAGGAGGGGAAGGAGTCGGAGGGGAGGAGTGAGGTGGCCCTGGCCCACGCCCCTCCCGGGCCCCTCTCGTGCCCCCGGGGGGGGGTAGTCCCCCACCCACATTTCCTGCGCGGGGTATTTAAAGCACCTTGGGTACGGCCCGCCTGGGCCCGCGCTGCCCTTCCTTGCCCTGCTCTGCCCCGCTCTGCCCTGCCCGCCCGGGCTGGGATGGAGCCCGCCGCCCCCTGCTCCCGCCCGCTCCGGGCCCTCTGACCCACTGCTCGCCCACCCGTCTGCCGCCGCCCCCCGGCTGTCAGTCGGTCTGTGTCCCCAGGACCATGGGGGCCGTGCGGCCGCTGACTGTCGGGTTGCCCCCTCTACTGCTACTGCTGCTGAGCACTTCGTGTGGCTTGATCTCCGGGGAAGGTGAGTACATTCTGGTCCTAGGGTCTCCCTCCCTGGGCCCCGATTCTGTCGCTATTGCAGCCTGCGCCCAAGAGGCCCCCCAGTGCAGCCTTGCAGGCTGGGGCTGCCACGGCCTGGTCGCAGGGAGCTGACCTTGGCCTCTGACCTCCCAGAGTTCAGCTACAGGTTTCTCTGGGGGACCCCAGGGGTCTGCTCCAACCTTAGGATTCAGACAGGTCCAACATCTCCCAGGTTCTGTAGCTTTGCCTCGGCCACCTTGGCTTCCTTCCTTCGTGTCCTCTGTGAGCCCCCACTGGGGGTCCCCTCAGCTCTGTCCTCCTGATTCTTCCCATCCCCTACCCTTCCTGGGTGTCCTGAAGCAAGATCTAATCATAGCCTGGGTCTCCAGGTCTCAGGGTGCCCTCAGCAACCACCGCTTTGACCTGGTGGAGATTATGGGGCACTGGCCAGTGACTGCAGAAGAATTCTTTCCCCCCTTCTCAATCTCAGGAATGTCTGCCCCAGGAGTAGGTCCTGAGGCTCTTAGAAACGTCTGGCTTTACATTTAAAAGCCCGGATTTTGCCTTTCTCCTCTGGGAGTCTGAGCCAGTGGTCCTGAGAAAAGCAGCCTGATGAACCCTTCCCACCTCCCCACCCCCCATCCCCATCCCAGTGTGTGCCTTGCAGGGTTTTCTCTGTGGTTGTTCCCTACTCCAAATTGCTGTGGGAGGGGCTGAGGCCCAGCCTGGGTCAGTTACAGGGGAAGAGATGGTTTGGAATGAAGTGAGGGGGTTGGCCAGGAGGATCTCTAAGGTCCCAATCCAGCTCTGTTGTAGGAGCCACATGGAGCCACAGATTTGCAGAGCCAAAGGACTTTAGAGATCCTTTCATTGTGTAGAAAGAGAAACTGAGGCTCAGAGAGCCAGAGACCTGCCAAGGGTCACATGTAGAGTTCCTTCGAAGTGTAGCTTATGGCTTGCACTCCAGCTTTCTTGCTCTGTCTGCTGAGACCTGCTAATTCTTAGTCTTGACAAAGGAACTTTGGCTTTGTTCCTTCTCTTGTTTAAACTTTCTTGCCCTAGCTGATGGTCAGTCCATAAACCAGGGTCTTCCCTTGTAACATTCCATACCCTGGTTTTCTGATAGATGTAGAACAGTGCCTCTGGAAAGGGCTTCCAGCAGATGTCTGGGCAGGAACTCAGGCGAGATGGAAAGGCTTGGTTGGGACAGTACTTTGGCTCTTGGGCCTGCTTGCTCTGTCTTTGGGTGGGGGGTGGGGCACCTGACTCTCAGGGCCTTCACAGGTGCTTTTGCATCCTTAGCTCCTGGCTCAGGGAGTTCTGGGCTTCTCACTGAAGTTGTTAACATGGGGGAAGCATCGAACAGCAAGAAAGACAGTGAATGAGGAGCAGCTGCTCCCCAGGATGCACAGGGGCTCATTTGAGGAGCTCCTAAGGTCCTCCTGACTGAGCTGGGATTTGTCACCCTATCATTATTTTTATTATTATTTAGAATCATCAGAGCTCAGATTATTTGACAGGGGAAGGGAAGGAGTCTGATGTCTGTTTTTCAGGCCCCATTGATATCAAATTCGTACCCTTAAATCTGGGAGAAATAATGTAAAGGGAAAGAGGACCTTCTGGGTTTCAGGACAATGAGGAATGTCATTTTTTCTTCACCATTCCATCAAGCACAAGTGTGCTGGAGTTTGGGAATCATCAAAGATCAAGATACCATCCTTTGCTCACGGAGCTTCCAGGTCAGAAGACTCGGGTTCAGATTCTATCTTTGATACTTACCACTTGTGTGACCTCAGGCAAGTCTCAACTTTCCTGGGCCTCGTCTTCCCCATCTGTAAAATGAAGGGGTTGGATTAGATGGCCTGTGGGATCTCTTTCAGCTCTAGAACTAAGAGAAGTTCAGTGAGTTGATAAATCAAAGAGAGGCCCCAAAGACTGGAGAAGGTAACTATCTCCTGACTGTAGGTATTTGCATGGGCTGACCCCCCACTGTCTGGAATTTGCTCCCTCCTCACCTCTGCCTCATAGAATCCTTAGCTTATTTTTTTCAAAGTCCAGCTTAGATGACACCTTCTACCTATGACCTTTCCTAATTCTGCACCGTGCTCTTCCCCCTTCTCCATTGTTAGTGCTCGCTAGCTCTTGAAATGACTTCTGTATTATTTGTTTATACTTTGTATTTGTTTATCGGTGTACATGTTGTCTCCTTCTAGGAGAACACAGGCTCCTTGAGATGAGCGTGACTGGTTTTTGCTTTTTTATTGGCAGTAGCCGGTACAGTGCTTAGCTCACGGTGGCGTTTCTTTAGCATTCATTCAATGCTTTTTAAAAAATTTATTTTTCATTCAACGCTTATTGAATTAACTCCAAGCAGACCAGGGTAGTCACCAAATGAGAGGCACAGGCCATAAGTGTCCTAGGAGCTCAGGGGAGGGGGAAGAGACCTGTGGCAGTCTGGGAGAGCTTCAGAGAAGAGGTGGGCCTGGAGCTGGGCCTTAAAGAGTGGGTGGATTTAGAAAGGCAGAGAGAAAGAGAAAGGCACCTTTTGAAGGCCATGACTTGGTTATGTTGGAGCTGGTGTGGAAAGTTCTTGTAGGGGAGTAGAGAGGCAGATTTCAGCTTGATGATAATGGGGGGAAATTCCTAACAATTAGAGCCATCACAAGTGGAGTAGGCTGCACCAGGGTGGGTAATGAGTTCCCCATCACACAGTAGGTATTGAGCAAATGCTTGTCGCATCATATAGTACTTATCCAGAGCAACCCGACTGTGTTTGTTTCCCTAACAACTAAGGCATTTATCAGGGAGGATATAATGGGAAAGAAGAAGCCTGGAGAAAAGAAGACTTTGGGTAAAGGGGAAGAGATGAGAGACATGATAGCAGTCATTTAGTATTTGAAGAATTAGCATAATGTTGGAAAAAAGGAGTTAGATTTGCTTTCCTTGGCCCTGTGAGGGAAGAATGAGCAGCAATGGCAGTTACAGAGACGCACATTTAGGCTCCATATATTGAACAACTTCCTAAGCAGTGGAGATAGCCAGAAGTAAAAGGGACTGCAAAAGAAAGCAGTGAGTCTCCCCTACCTGAAGGTCATTAAGCAGGGGCAGGAAGATCGCCTGTTGGCTGTATTCTGGTGGGCCTCTTCTTCAGGTGGGGTTTTGACTGGCCGGCCACTGAGGAGCCTTCTCTGACTCTGCCTTTCTCCATTCCTCACCCCTACCCCCCTGCCCCTCCCTTTTGTCCCTCATGTTTTTCCACTTCTCCTCCCTCCCTTGGCACTTTCCTGGCTCTGAGGACCAGAATGATGAATTTGGATGGAGTCTAGATTCAGGTTAGGTTTATCCAGTTTGTGGTAACCCCCTGTTTCACAATAAGGTTTGACTTTAAGAAACAGGCGTATTGTGGCTTCTGTTGTTAAGAGGCCTCCTCGAGGAAAACCCCCGTGTTTGATTCTCTTAGGAATTAGCTCATTGCCAATTTGGAACTGGATTTATGACTCTTAAACTAAGATGTCACTTAACTGGGTGTTTAGTTGTTTCACAGGTTGAAGAATTCTGTTGTCTTCCTCTCCCCCTCCCGCCTTCTGTAATCTGTTTATAAACATCTACAAACAGATCTCTTTTTAGGCTCAAGGTGGTGTGCTGTAGGACAAAGAGCTCAGGATTCAGAGACAGAAAACCTGGATTCAAACGTGGCACTTGCGTTTTACTGCCTTTGTGAATCATTTCCCCTTTCTGGGCCTCAATTTCCCTTCTAGAAAATGAAGGCATTGGTGCAGAATGATTGATCTCTAAGGTACCTCCAATTCAATCCCATTTAAGTGATTACTGTGTTCTAGGCACTGGGGTTACAAAGACAAATAGTAACAATCCCTACCCTCAAGAAGCTTATATTCTGTTTCAGGAGGGGGAAACAAGGTATGCATATAGAAGTCCCTTCCAGGCACTGTACCTTGTTTAAACTTTGTATCTCTTCCAGTAGGGCACCTAGGGATCCATACACAGTGGGAATTTAATAAATGTTTGACAGATGAATGAGGCAAGAATCAAGTCAGGAGACATATTTTGCAGGCAGAGGAATGCAGGGCAGACTCAGGTCTGGCAGCGGAGAATGCGTCCAGGGTCTTGCCCAACACTTAAGGACTTTGCAGCCCCACAGTAGGAACAATAAGTAACAGTTTCGGAGAGGTAGATTTAGGGTCCATAGAAGGAAGGACCCCCCCCCAATTCCCTGGGTCCTTAATTGGCCCAAGTTGCTTGGAAAGTATTCAGGCAAAGGCTGAATGATCACTTGTCAGGGCTATTGTGACAAGCACCTGCGGTCAAATATCATGTCATATCATATTGTAAAGTTTGAACTCTGAGCTCCTCTCATTTTACAGACGGGGAATTGTTTGTGTTCACAGAATCACAGAATTGGCCTAGATAGCCCCAGGGCTCTTCTGATATGAAAATTCTAGGATTTTGTGCTGTTAACTCTCTGTTCCCATGAGCCTTTGTTTCTGCTCTTCCTACTAAATTTCCCGTTACCATTTGTGTTTGGCTTAACATCTTGGAAATGAGGCCTCCTCCATTGATGCAGGGCTCTCAGGCAGTGGGAGTACAAGAGAGAATGTGTTAGGTGGGGAGTTGGAGGGCCCGGGTTCAAATCCCTGTGCTTCTACTTATTAGCTGTGTGACTCTGGGCAAGCCACACGACTTCTCTGGGTTTTCATGATCTTACTGTTAAAAGGAGGGAGTTGGATTGGGTGACGTCTGAAGTCCCTTTGTACTGGAAATCTCAGAGCAGGAATGAGCTATCAAACAAGTCTGTGATGTGTAGGACTCTGAGGGACTCTGGGAGTCAGCAGGGTGTAACTGGGAAGCCAGGGAAGGCCAGGAGATTTAAAAAAAACAAACAGGGTCCGTGTGACTGTCTGTCAGACTGTCCGTTGCTGTGTGGCCAGCAGGGAGTGAGTATTTTTGTCTGCCTCCTGCCAAGGGTTGAGAAATGGATTGTAA